GCTCGTGAGGGGGAGAGGGTGGGGCGCTCCGCATTGAGGAAGTTCAGCTTAAAGACGCGTCCCAGGGGCATTTCTGGTCCCAAAAGGCGTTTCTGGTCCCCACCTGTCGTTTTGCTCCTCAGCATGCCTGCCTAAAAACGCTGCAGGATTTCTCAAACATGCACAAATGAGCCAAAGCAAGGCTTTGGGCATGTTTTTTTTTATGAGAGTATAACATTATAACAGGATATAAAACTCAAAAAAGTTGATTTTACATGATATTGCCCCTTTAAACATGGTATTAGATTAGCACCTTTTTTAACTGATACAACCAGGCGCAAAATGATTGACTCTGCTGAAGTTTCTGTYAATTTATTAATTTTTTTTATTTGTCCTGTAGACAATTTAAAAACAGTGTGAATGAATTTGATTAAAAAAGGTCACATGCATATTTTAGATGACATCAGAACACAAGTCAAATGTTTAATTCAGCTGATGAAATAAAAGAGAAAGATGTAAATCACTGGTTCTGTGGAACAAGAGATGACCTGCAGAGTTCAGACCAAGCTTAAAAGCATTTATTTTTGACRCAAAGAAATGAAAGCAGGAACGATAAACCATTGCAAATAGTTGTGATTTTACACGTGTGTTTTTGTTTTTATTCCTTAAATCTTCAGATGTGCGACACATTAAAACTCTCATCTAATCTGAAAGTTCTGTAACAGAAACACAACTTGTTCATCTTTCTCAGGACTCTAGTGGTGGTTTGGACCATACTGTTGGTTGAGAAACACCTAAAAGTGAAGCTACATAAATCAAATTAACTTTAAAAGTGATTGTCAGTAATATTTGGGCCCTAATTACACCAACGAGCTAATAACAATCACTATAAATGAACACAGCAATGCTATTATGGTTAATGTTTATACTTTATTCAGCAACAGTCAGGGTCCCAAACCTCTGACAGAAAACATCCATGTTAAGATAAAATAATCTAAATACAGTTGTCCTCACTTCCCTGAATATCTGTTGTTCCTGATGAAAAACTGGTTTGATCACATTTTATTATCAGCTCCAGCGCCAGTGTTGGACCAGCCTGGCTTGAAGTCTTTTTCACATTGCTCTTCAGAGAATAAATAGGATGTGTCTACTTCCTGGGAGGTTGTAAAACCAGAGTGTGCACTGGGACAGATCACCAGAACCATGTTTGTCTCCCTGTGTGAACCTGTTGCACACGCAGGAAGAACTCCCCCTACAGGACCCTGGAACCGGTGCGCCCCCCTGTGGTGCCCAATGATTATGTCTCCAGCCCAACCAGAACCAGTACAGCAGGCGGACAGCTTCCCAGTCCAGTCCGGACCGCCACCCTGAACCACCGACCCAGAACATACAGGTAGAGGGGTCAGCGTGTAAACGTGGCCACCATGGAGGGATTTCTGAGTTTCCTGTTCTTGTTCGCATTCATCTAACATGGCTTCAACTTTATTTATTGTTTTGTTTTTGTTGTTGTTGTTTTTTTTACTACAATCATTGAATATTCAACACATCTAGAAGACAGACTAAAACATTTCTCTGTTTTTGTTTTGAACACAGCTAAAGATGTGAAATGTCCCAAACTACACTGTCAGATGTGTTGAATATAAAGTTTATGTCTCAGTTCTGAACATGAACAAACATTTTGAATCTACTTCTAACATTTATAAACTTGATTTTCTTTCTTTTCTTTTTTCAGCTTTTTCTTGTTTCTTCTTTGCTGTCATTAACTGAACCTGCTGCTGTTTCTCTACAGGCTTCTCATCTTCATCACTGCCCTGTCCTCTTCTTCATGTCCTGCAGTTATTAAWCTTTTTTCATGTCTTTGTTTTTTAAAGTTATTTAACAAAATAGCTGTTGACTACAGACAGAGTAAAGAGAATAATTTTATCAACATTTTTAGGAAACAATACTGCACTTTCTGAAGTTAAACTAAACTTTTTGTAGATTATTAATTAAGTACAAAATTGGTAACATTTAAGACACAGTTTGATGTTGACAAGTCTGAATTGTTTTGTTTTGTCTTTCTGTAGCTGATGAAAGTTAAGTAATTTATTTATAAAAGTTAAAATAGTTAAGCATGAAAATGGTCTGTTTTCTTAAGAAATGTAAAAATGTGTTTTTAAATGGGCTGAAAGTTCTTTACAAAACTCCAGACTGGATTTTTTTTTTAAATGGTCAAAAAATCCTTTTGATAAAAGGGGAAAATGGCTCTTAAAAAATGAATGAATCATTTTATTTGGTCACATTAAAGAACACTCCATACAAAAGCAAACAAAACTTTAACCCTAAATGACCAAATAGGTAGAGACAGAAGCCAATGGCTTGTTTTGCCTCACCTTGCAAATCATAATGGGATTCCCCAAAACAAAATACACAAAAAACACACATATACTTCAACTACATCCTGGCTATATGCAAATCATTAATACAGTCTTTTTTTTATCAACAATATCATTATTATTGTCCATACATGTGAAAAAATA